GAACAGAAGCAAATGTCAAAATCATTCAAAACCGGAAATCAATGATTTTAGCTTCTTCTGGCCTTCCTGGGGGCCCTCTTGGGGGCCTCTTGGGCCGTCTTGGGCCAGCTTCGAGCCAACTTCGTCCATCTTGGTGGGCTCCTGGCCCGTCTGACGCCGTCGGGAGCCGTCTTGGGGGCCTTTCTGGGCCGACTTGGGGCCCTCTTGGGGCGCTTCGGGGCCAAGAAGCAAATGCCAAAATGTTTGGAAAACCTAGGGACAATCAATGATGTTGGCCTCTTCGGGCCCTCCTGGAGGACCTCTTGGAGGCCTCTTGGGTCGTCTTGGGCAGTCTTGGAGGCTTCTTGGGCGACCTTGGAGGTATCTTGGACTCTCTTGGGTCGTTTCGGATGCCGTCTTGGACCATCTTGGGCGGACTTGGAGGCCATCTTGGACCATCTTGGAGGCCATCTTGGGCCAACCTGGCCATCTTGGAGGCCATCTTGAACCATCTTGGATGATCGAACGAACTGCTGCGAGAATTCGGGACCGGCGGAGATGGGCCGCTGGCGGGCACCACCGCCGTCCGGCTTCTAATCTTAAACCCTTTAGCTCTCAGCGAGCTCTCCGGGAAAAACCCGGAGAGCAAAGAGAACACACGCAGGAAAGCTTTCCTGGCAAACCCACGGAAGCTCTCTGGGGCTCTGGGGCCCCCCCCCGGCAGCGCTTCCGAAGCGCTGCCAGGAACGCTTCCACGCGTGCCTGCACGCGTGCAGGCAGGCACACGTCAACGCTTGCCAGAAGCTCCCCCGGACCCGCTGCAAAGTTTTACAGGGCGCTCCTTGAGATCTTTTCCAGGTGGCCAGCGGGACGGGCCGAAGCCCCAGGGGGAGTTCTTTGGGGAAAAAACCAAGACCAAAAGCCATATAGTTTGGCACGCCAGGCACTTCTTTGATAAATCAAAAGGGGGCGGCCGATCGAAGACGCCTACGGCGAATCACCGCCGCTCCCTGCCTTTGTGGAAGCGCCTATGTGGCCGAACGTGGAGGCCAGACCTGCCAAGCTATCGGACCATGTGTTCCCCGAACCGGTTTGGAAAGCCTTCGGGGAACACGTGGGCATCTTGAAGGTCATTTTGGCCGCCTGGAGGCCATTTTGACCCTTTCGGGCCTTCTTGGAGGACGTCTTGGAGGGCTCGTGGGCCGTCTTGGAGGCCATCTTGAGCGTCTTGGAGGCCTCTTTGGCCGTCTTGGGGGCCTCTTGGGGCCGTCTTGGGTCGTTCTGGGGTCATCTTGGAGGCCTCTTGGGCGATCCTTGGGCGATCTTTGGGGGCTCTTGGGCCGTCTCGGGCCATCGGAAGGCCGAAACGAAGCAAATGTCAAAATCCTTCAAAAACCGTAGGAACATATTTCTTTTTGGCCTTTTCTGGCCTTCCTGGAGGCCCTCTTGGAGGCCTCTTGGGCCGTCTTGGGCCAGCTGCGAGCCACCTTCGGCTATCTTGGTGGGCTCCTGGCCCGTCTGACGCCGTCGGAAGCAGTTTCGGGGGCCTTTCTGGGTTGACTTGGGGCCCTCTTGGGGTGCTCCAGGGCCGTCTTAGAGGCCATCTTGGGCGTCTTCGAGGCCTCTTGGGCCGTCTTGGCGCCCTCTTGGGGCCGTCTTGGGGGCCTTTTGGGCCGTCATGGGGCCATCTGGAGGCCTCTTGGGCGATCTTGGGGCGACCTCGGGGGCCTCTGGGGCCGTCACGGGCCGTCGGAAAGCCGAAAAGGCGCAAATGCCAAAATCCTACAAAAACCTAAGGAAAATGAAGGACTTTGGCCTCGTCGGGCGTTCCTTGAGGACCTCTGGGCGGCCTCTTGGGCCGTCTTGGAGGCCTCTTGCGGGCCTTTTGGGCCGTCTTAGACCATATTGAGGCCATTTTGGGCCGTCTTGTATGCATCTTGGGGCCATCTGAGCCGTCTTGGAGGCCATCTTGGCCGCCTTGGAGGCATCTTGCAGGCCATCTTGGATCATCTTCGCGATTGTTTGAGGATGTCCCGAGCGAAACGGCAGTTTTTGGCATTGACTGATGCAGTTTCCGGGTGGCCGGCGGGACGGGCCGGTTTGGGTTCTTTTGGAAAAAGAACCAAAACCAAAACCTAAGAAATCTAGCACGCCAGGCACCCCTGCGATGAATCGACAGGGGGCGGCGGATCGAAGACGCCTACGGCGAATCACCGCCGCCCCCTGCCTTTTTGGAAGCGCCTATGTGGCCGAACGTTGAGGCCAGACCTGCCAAGCTATCGGACCATGTGTTCCCCGAATCGGTTTGGAAAGCCTTCGGGGAACACGTGGGCATCTTGAAGGTCATCTTGGCCGTCTTGGAGGCCTCTTGGGCAAGCTTTGGGCGATCTTTGGGGCTTTTTGGGCCGTCTCGGGCCAGCTTCGAGCCAACTTCGGCCATCTTGGTGGGTTCCTGGCACGTCTGAAGCCGTCGGAAGCCGTTTGGGGGGCCTCTATGGGCCGACTTGGGGCCCGCTTGGAATGCTCCAGGGCCGTCTTGGAGGCCATCTTGGGCGTCTTGGAGGCCATCTTGGGCGTGTTGGAGGCCTCTTGGGCCCTCTTGGGGCCCTCTAGGGGCCATCTTGGAGGCCACTTGGGCCATCATGGGGCTCTCTTGGGGGCCTCTTGGGCGATCTTGGGGGCTTCTTGGGCCGTCTTGAGCCGTCGGAGAGCCGAAAAGGCGCAAATGCCAAAATCCTTCAAAAACCAATGGAAAATCAATGATTTTGGCCTCTTCGGACTCTCCTGGAGGACCTCTTGGAGGCCTCTTGGGCCGTCTGGGAGGCCTCTGGGGGGCCTCTTGGGCCGTCTTGGGCCGTCTTGGACTCTCTTGGGCCGTTTTGGAGGCCGTCTTGGACCATCTCGGGCGGACTTGGAGGCCATCTTGGGCCATCTTCGCGATTTTTTGAGGATGTCCCGAGCGAAACGGCCGTTTTTGGGCATTGACAGACGCATTTTGGGAAACGCGCGGGTGGCCGGCGGGACGGGCCGAAGCCCACTGGGGAGTTCTTTTAGAAAAAGAACCAAAACCAAAACTGAATCATCCAGCACGCCGTGCACCCCTGCAAGCAGGGGGCGGCGGATCCAGTGGCCTTCGGCCCATCCCGCCACCGTGCCTGGGTTGTGGATCAGTTGCCTTTTGGATTCTTGTGGGTGTCTCTTTGGAAGCCTCGGGGGAGTCTCTTGGAGGCAGTTTGAAAGCCTCTTGGTGCCTCATGGAGGCCGTTTGGGGGCCTCTTGGGGGCTTCTTGGGGTCTTGCTGGCGATCTCGGGGGCCCCCTTGGGGCGGATGGCTCGAACTCTCAGCTCGAGTTCCCTATCTAAGCCCATCTTGGGGCCCTCTTGGGCCGTCTTGGGCGAGTCTTGTACGATGGGGCCCTCTTGAGCCGTCTTAGGGCCCTCTTGGGGGCCTCTTGGGGCGATCTTGGGGACAGCCTGGGGCTTTGGACGCTGTGAAAGTCCAGAGGCGAATCTGTTGAACGTATACGTTTTGCTTTGCGAGTGGGGCGATATTTTGCCTTGAGGGGTGCTCTCGGGTTCTTCTTGAGGCGTCTTATTGGCCCCTTGGGCCGTCTTGGAGCCATAATGAGCTGTCTTGAAGCTGTCTTGAACTGCTCTGGGGGCTTCTTTGGTCATCTGAGGCGGTTCTTGAAACGCTCTCGAAGGTTCGGGAGGTCTTTTTAGGCCGGCCGAGGAGCTCCGGGGATCCCTCATGAGCTCCCAGGAGCTCCCAGTGGATTAGTAGTGAGGGTCCCTTAAGAAGGATTCCTTGGTAACACATCCTGTAGCACGGGATCTTCGGTTTTGATTATTTTAGAAACGGCTCATTCGTGATGAAGGGTTCCTTCAGTAATGGTTCCTCAGTAAGGTTCTCATCAATAAGGATTCCTTGGGAATCATTCGCCGAGTCAGGATTCGAACGGATACTGCAGTCACAGTTCCCCCTCGAGTATCCATTTAATCTTGATTCCTTTGTAATGGTCCTTTAGAGGGGAATATTTCGCGAATGGTCCTTCGTTAGCGATTCGCATAGAGTTGGTCCTATATTTAGTAAGGACTGCTGCAGAGCGTTTTGGATGCCCCTTCTGCCTGGCCGCTCGCAGTGGCGAGGGGGATCTTGGAATGCGCGGACATGCGTTCCTTTTAGGCTTCTTCTGGGGCGGGGGCGGGGGCTGAATAACTAAACAGCCATGGGAAACAAACGAAACAGAACTTAAACGCCGAACCTTGGAAACCCAACAAGTTCGAACGCAGCCGAATGAACAACAAAGAAACAACAAGTGCACCACTTACCCCCGCTGGCCACCACTCGATGGAGTAAGTGCCAGAGCGTTATGTTGTTTGTTTGTGTTGTTTTTCGTTGCTGTGTTCCTTGAGCATGTTGTTTTGTTATTTCTGTCTTGGGTATGTGATTTCTTCGTGCTTGGTTTGTGCTCATATGCTTTTGTTTTGCGAGCTGTTGAACCCCCAGCTGGAAAGAAGGAAGCGAAGGAGGAGGCGAGGGAAGAGGAGGTGGAGGAGGAGGAGACGAAGGACGAGGAGAATAAGGAGGAGGAGGAGACGAAGGAGACGAAGGAAGAGCGAGAGAGAGAGAGAGAAGGAGAGAAAGAGAGAGAGAGAGAGAAGGAAAGAGGGAGAGAGAGGGAGAGGAGGAGGAGGAGGAGGAGGAGGAGGAAAAAGAGGACGAGAAACGCGCTCAAAATTTGCCTAGCGGGTGGTCCACGGGATTTCCATGCCACAAGTTTATATCAAATTTTGTTTGATCAGTTTCAGATATGTATGGATGGTTTGGTGTATCGGCCTGCTTCGGGACCCGTGGGCGCACGGCAGCGCCTCAGGTGGGCGCCCGCACAGTAATTTAAGCCAGATTGGTTGAAGGGTCCTTGGCCCAAGGTGCCCCAAGAATTTCCAAGGAGGCCCTCACTATGCCCAGAGGTGGCTTCAACATGGAGCGAAAGCTGGGGGCACCTTGGGCGCCGAAGGTGTGGCAGTGGTCCGCCAAGTCCCTGGAGGGCAGCTCGGCGGCTGCGCCCGTGCGCTACCGCGCCGCCGTGCGCGTGCCCGAGGTGGGGCGCACGTTCACAGGGCCGTGGCGGCACAGCGCGCACAAGGCCGAGAAGGCCGCCTGCGCCCTGCTGGAGGACCGGGCCCGTGCCTCGTTTCCGCCTTGTCGGGCCTCCTGGGATTCCCTCACCGACACGGCCGGATCCGCTTCGAAATCCTGGTCAGGACGCAGCCGGGGAGAGGTCCGGGGAGTAGCAGCATCGGCTTCTTGAACTTTCCCAGGGCAGGGAAGAGGGAGGGTACGACATCTGCTGCATGCAGCTGGACTCGGCCCCGCCGCTGGGCGCCTTCTCGAGACGTTGGCGCCTCCTGCTCTAGGAGGCGCCAAGGGGACCAGCTTTTGAAGGCTCCCGCCCCAACAGCTCACCCAATCGAAGGGGCGGCGGATGGCGCCAGCCAGCCGAACATGACCCAGGAGGGGAACAACTGCACAAACCCACCAACAGCTCTATCCTTTGACAAAAAGGAAGGAAGAAAAGAGGAAGAGGAGGAAATTTGATGGAATTCAGGATACATAGGAAAGCCTGGAATGTGTGTCGATTTGTTTGCGTCACCCTGGACCCCTTTCAGTACATGTTCTTTGCCTCAGCCCTGTCACGCGAACCCAGGTGACACCAGGAGCGTGCCGAGTCTTAGCCAGCACCAGGAGGCCTGAAGGCAAGCGAGCTCCAAATCATCACATGTGAGAGGGCTCCAGGAAGGGCCTCGCCTTCGAGGATCGAAGGAGCTGTCATCTCTTCCTCAGCGGAAAGCGGTGGAAGGGCGGTGGAAGGCGGCAAAACACCATTCAGAGGAGAAACAAGTACCCATACCGCTGCCCTTCCTTCGTTTTCGCCTGCTTGGGCCTCTTGGGAGACCCTCGTCGCAACCCCTGGAGTAGCCTCGAAATCCTGAACGCCCTGGAGTCAGAGCACACCCTGGGAGAAGTCCGGGGGGTAGCGGTATCGGTACCTTCTGGCTTCCTCAATCACATGCGAGAGGGCTCCAGAGCAACGCGTCCCCAAAGTCAGACTTTTGCGTCGCAGCCCGGCAGAGGCAGTCCGCACCCGCGTCCAAGCAAACCGGGCAACGGTATTGCGAATTGTCCCGCGTGCCAAAGGAGTGGAAAAGCAGAGACACGGCCGCAGCGGGGGAGCACCAAAGGTCGGTCGAGCCGGTGCAGCAGCCCCTGGCCCCCTGGCAGCGGGCCTTGGGCTGCATCACGAGCGTATCCAAGGGTTGGTCCAGCGGCTGCAGTGCTTGGCGGGGCCCGGCAAGACAGGGAAGGAAGGCCAGAGATGCGCGGACTACGGCAGTCCCCTTCACCAGAGTGGGAGCTGGTTCAGCTGCTGGGGGGGCAGCAGGGGGGGCTCGACGGGCAGGCGGCGCAGCGGTAGCGAAGGCGGTGCGCGTTCGCAGCGAAGGGCAGGCTGGAAACCACGAGGAAGAGCGACGCGAAGAGGCCGGGCGTAGCCACTGTGGAGCCATGAGACCCGGGCGACCGCCGGAGCGGGGAGCGTGGGAGCCACGCAACAGGCCGCGGGCGGGCGGGGCGGGGGGAACGGGAGGCAGTGAGGCCAAGCCCAGGGCCGGCGCGCGCATCACAGCCGTGGGCGGGGCGGCGCCCACCCGAAGCGGAGGCGCGGCTCGGCGAGAGCTCCTGGCGAGAGGCAGCCGGGAAGCAAGACGAGGGGGCGACGCGGAAACGGCGGCCCCAGAGTGAAGGTGGCAGAGTGCAACCTATCAGGCGCCACCAGCTGTTAGGCACAGGGGCGAGCCTGCCAGGCCCTGTCGGCTTGTGTGGCGGCGGATTCACCTTTGTTTCGCTCGAATTTAATTTCGCTCGGCTTGTTGCCGCTCGGATTTAAATTCGCTCGGGTGTAAATTCGTTCGGCTAAAACTCGCGCGGGTTCAAATTCGCTCCGGTTTTAATTCGCTCGGTTTAATTTCGCTCGTTCGATGCCCGGTCATCGTTTGGGACGACGGATCCAGTCCGGGCGGCCACAATTCGCTCGGATGGGGACTCCCTCGGGGTGAAAATTCTCTCGGATGTGAATTTGCTCGGGTTGAATTTCGCTCGGTTCGCTTCCTGGGCCCCCCTCATCGTCCTCCTCCTCGCCCCCCTGCTCCTCATCCTCACGCGTCCTCCCCCTGGCTCCTCTCCCACCTCCTACTCCTCCCCCCCTTTCCCCTTCTGCCCACCTCCTCCCTCCTCCTGATTCCGAGACGCCGTACATGTCGAGATGCCATTAGAGATTGAAATCGGCCCTGCCAAAACTCCTCCAGTCCGGCCCCCGTGCCGGCCACCACCAAGAGCAGCGACCACATCAGCAGGCCGGTCCGCAGAGAGCAGCGGTCACGATTTTGGTGGCAGCGCGACCAGATTCGCAGTGCGAGGTGATGGGCGAGATGTGAGATGTTTGTTGAGGGGTGCGTCTCGTAGCTGATTCAAACCACCAGCAGTAGGCTGAGCGAGCCGCAGAGGCGCGCCGCCGCCGCACCCTCCACCCGCGACTCTGGCGGCCCTCGACCTGCCACTCGGAGGTTTTTGCTTCCAGCGCGCGCGCGCCAAGGTGCTGGCCCTGGGGCAGCGCGGCCCCGCATTGCCAGACGTCGGCCGCAATGGCGACGAAGCGGCTCTGCCTCCGTAGTCAAACAAAGACTACCTTACCCGCGGTGGGCGACAGCAGACCCTGGACAAGAACAGGTGTAATAAGTTCCCCACGCGCAAGAGCACGCAGGCGCGCTGAGCGGAGACCTGACACAGAAAACCTCGGGTGATTTCATCAAAGTTTGAACCCAGAAGCTTGAGCGGATAAAGACACAAGCGTCACGTGGTTATCTTTGGGACGGCACGGCACCACCACCCCTGCTCTAAAGCACGCTGCAGCACCCGCGCCCGCCCCGCCAACTTCTGTAGGTGGGGCGGGGAGGGGTGAGGGCCGGGGGCCCCAGAAAAACGTCATTGCATTACAAAACACACATTGTGAGCCGATTCGCAAACCGCCCCTTTCCTATTAACCTCTTCTGCCGTCCGACTCGAGAGGAATTCCTCGACTCCTGGTGCAAGGACCGGAGAAGAAAACACGGCACAGACACGCCCTCGAAGCGAAGCTCCACGCGGATTTCTTGGGTCGGCGCTGCCCCCCTCCGCCCTGGCGGCGCCTCCAGCGCCGCCCGTGGCGCGCTCAGAGCGCCAGTGTCCAGTGCCGACCAGGGAAGTTCGCGCGGAGCTCCGACCACTCATGTCCGTGCCGTCCTTTGGGCTCCTCCAGAGGAGCCGCCTCCGCGGGAGGCCCCACTGCCTCCGGACCCCGGGCGGCGCAGGCTGGCAGCCTGAAACCGATCCCTATCCCTGTGATCGACCGATCTGGGTCCCTATGACTGGCATCTCCGCATCCCGATGCCGATCTCAAGGCTTCTACCACTTTCTGAGGGCACACCCCCGAGACTGTCGTCGCCTCGGGCATGTCAAGCATACTCTGCGTTTGGCAATGAGCGTGGGGGGCGCCACCCCCGCCGACAGCCCAAATCGACCCCCGTCGCGGGCAAACATGGCCGCGCGACGTCGACCCCAATCGGCCCACGCCACCCCTGGCCCAAGGGCCCGGCCAGGTTGACGTTGACCCCGGTCGAGGGGAGGACCCCCCCCCACACTTTACCACCACCCGCAGAGTAGGGGTAGGGATCAGCTCGAAGCTGGTTCGCAGGGGCGGCGCCGCCGCGGCGGGCGGCCCCGCCGACTGACGGCGCGGGGGCCTTGGTGCTGTCGCCTTGGCGGCCTGGCTGCGCCCCGCGCCAGGCCCGCTGAGGCCCCCACAGCGGGGCGCACGCACGGCGAGGCGGCGCCGTCGGGCGGGGCCGCCGCTGGGCTGTTGGCCGCTCGCCGGGAGCGAACTCGAAGCCCGAGTGGTGGGGGTGGCACAAATTGGTTGGGCCGGAGTGGGGTGCAATGGTGCCTGCAGTGGTTTCTGCATGGATACCGCAGTTTGCGGCATGGGCGCAGCAGTTCTTTCAACACACAATAGCTTAAGCCCCATGCAGTAGTTCGTGCCCCCCCCCCCCAGCAAACAGTTCGCGCAAGATCTCGCACAATTCGCAACATTGCACCGCCCACCGCCCCCCCATTGGCGTTGCCCGTATCGCTGCAGTCTGAACGAACGCCGTCGTTCGAAGAAGAAGGAGCTCGAGGCTCTCGGCCTCCGGGATGGTATTCGAGCAGATGGGGTCAGAGGATACCGCCGCATCGCCGATGCATCGGCGATGCGGCTCGACGTAGAACCAGAATTTCTCCACGCCGATGGCGCCGATGCATCAGCGATGCATCGGCGATGCGGCGCGATCCTCCGGCCCCATGTATTCGGACCCTATTTAGGAGGCATCTAGCCGCTCGCTAGGAGCGAACGCCGTCGTTCGAAGAGGGAGCGGCACAGAAGTAAACCTTCGGAGCTCCGCTCGGATCTGTTGGGTCGGCGTTGAGCCCCCTGGCTGGCGGCGCCTCTGGCACCGCCCCTGGCGCGCTACGCCCGCCAGAGAGGGGGTTCAGCGCCGATCCAAGAAACCCGCGCGGAGCGCGGAACGTTTGTGTTCGTTCCGCGTGCTCTCTCCTTCGGATCATCTTGCCTGCGTAGGGGCCATGCTAGTATTTGTCCCTGTCCTCTGGGCAGCGCGCTTCATTCCAACCCACTGGTGCCCGCCGTACGCTGGAGCATCGCGCGTCGCTTTTCGACGCATGCCGCATGCTGGCGTGATCGCTGGCTCCGTGAAATTATCACGCACGCTCTGCGCCTGCGGCCTCTCTCCCCTCCCCCCCCTGTCTCCTCCGAAGAAGATATCAGCGTAGACACAGACCGTCGGACCTCTGCGCGGGTTTCTCGGATCTGCGCTGGACCCACCTGTCGGCGCCTCCGTCGCCGCCCCCGGCGCGCTCCGCGTGCCAGGGAGTGGGGTCCAGCGCCGACCCAAGAAATCCGCGAGGAGCTCCGAACATTCATGTTGATGCAGTCTTTCTTCCTCTACTCTTTCCTTCCCTCCCTCCCTTCCCCCCACTCCCCCCCGCAAGTTTTGTTGTTGCATGTTTTACCGACGCGGATCTTACTCCGTTGTCGTCAGAGTATGCTGCCCGTCCCGCGTTGCGCGCACTGCGATGCACGCCATTTGCGTGGCAGCTCCGATTCCACATTCGGCGGCGCGTCGAGAGGGGAAGTGAGCAGGGGGCACGCCTTGTCAGAAGGCGTCGGGGCTTATGGCTTATCAGAAGCCCTCTGAGAAGGCCCCCGCCTCCCCTCTGCCGTCCCCCCTGGGCGGGCCGCCGCAACATGGAGGGTCGACACAGGCCAAGTTTTCAAGCCCCGCGCGGTCCGAGGCGCAGGAGGGCATGCGCTGCGCGGGCGGCGCGGGGCGGTTTCTGCACCCGGGTGCGCTTTTCCACGCTGAGTGCTGCGCCTGTGCGCCCAACGGCTTCGAGTCGGAGCATTGCGCCTTCGCAAAGGCGGCCGCTGTCTTGCTACACTTGCTAGTTTTTTGCAGTAGCTCGTGGATCAAAGAGCATTCGCTCGCACGTTTTGTGGCACGGCCCTCCCCTTGTTCGCCCTCCTCGCGCCACGTCCTCCTCACCCCGAGGAGCCCCAGGCATCCTCAGGTATTGTTCCCCGGTCAGGCTCTACCTGAGGGGCTCTTACTTGATTGTAAAAGAAGACGGTGGTTGCGGGGTCCTTCCCCGCCGATGATGCTCGGGGGGGTTGCCTGGGGTTGCCTGTGCAACGCGAGGCAATGCCATGCAACGCCAATCAATGCCAAGCTATGCCGAGCCACGCCAGGCAGTTCCAAGCAGTGCCGAATTCCAAGCAGGCTGAGCAGTGCCAAGCAACGCCCAAGCAACGGCAAGCTGTGCCACGCAATGTCAAGGAGTGCAAAGCAATGCCGAGCAACACCAAGCAGTGCCAATCAATGCTTCGGATTGCATTGTACTCTGCTCAGACCGACCTGGAATTGCTCTGGAAGGAAGACGGCTCCTCATCGGGGTCACGCCAGGTTCATTTCTGCAATCCGCGGTCCCAGCGATCCCAACCCCTTCCCTAGGGCTATTCTGCACCCAGGCTCCATTTTTGATGGCCCGGGGGCCCAACAGCGTCCCTCTGGGGGGCCGAAGTGAAGGGGAGCCGCCGCGACCCAAGCAAATACTATCTCGTCGGAGGTCTGGGGCCCCTCCTTTTCCCGTCCTCGCTCTGCCTCTGGGGCTCCTTCCCCTTCCCCTTTCCTTCCTCTTCCCCTCCTCTTCCCCCCCTCTCTTCCCCCCCTCCTCCCCTCCTCCTCCCCTCCTCGCTCTCCACTCCTCGCTTGGGGCTGTCCAGGCGTCCGCCTGGCCGCCGATGCTGTGTTTTTCTGTCTGCGCGAGGGCTCCCGGCCCGTTCGGGGGCCCCGGCGGCGGAGAGTGGTCGGCGCTCGCGCGGAGGCGAGCAAACGACTAGATCTTGTCGCCTCTCCACCCGTGTCCGTCCACCTCTCCCTCTCCCTGCTCCTCTCGAAGAAGTCATAAAACATCACGTTCGGAGCTCCGCGCGGATTTCTTGGATCGGCGCCTCGTCTGCGCCGGTCGAATCTATGCGTGCGAACCTTTGGAAGTGTTTAGTTGCTCCTGTACTGTCACCCTCCGCCTTATTCCTCCTCCGCCCGTCATATCGCCACCATCAGTGTCGTCATTGCCATCGCAATCACCCACCGCGCATAACCATCATCATTGCCATCACCAGCTCCAGCCCATCCACCATCACATCCATCATCGCCAACATCCTGCTGATGCCGCTGCTGCTGCTCCTCATCTTGCTCCCTCGCGGTCTTCGGAGCTTCCCGGAGGTGTCCAGAGGCCCCAAAAGGCATCCAACGGTCCCCCGAGGCCTCCTGAGGCCCAAGGATGCCCTTCCCGTGCTGCCCGGGCTCCAGGCTGAACCAGCTCGAGCTCAAGAGGCAGGAGGCCGAGAACATGGGCCGCGACAAGAAGCTGACCTCCCTCCAGCGCCAGTGCGAGAACTTGCAGGCTTCTCCCGTCGCCGCGCCGCGAGAGCCTGAGGAGCCACACACAGGGCCAGCTCTGGAAGCTCTGAGCCCCAAAGATGTGGCATCTCTTGGGGGCGTTTCTTTTGCGTCCGCTGGCTTCCGCCTGCGTTCCGCCGGCGGACCGGCTGCCTTTTCACTTCATCTGGCTTCCGCCGATTTTCCGCCGCCTTTCGCCGAGGAAGAGGTGCCAAGTTTTTCCGACCCTCACAGGCGAGGCCCTTCCTGGAACGATGGATGTTTGTGCGCTCGCCGAAATTCCGATCGACTGAAAACACATTGGGGATGCTGCGGTCGGCGTTTGAAGGAATGCGCCCATGTTGGCCAGATCTGGGGCCCCGTATGGGGCCCACACCCTCGTGCTCCCCACCTTCGCCCTTGTGCACAGCGCCGACGCCTCTCGTGCATGCGCGTCTCTTCTGTGCATTATGTAATTCAAGTGTTTATTTATTTGTATATATATATATATATATGTATATGTGTATAGATTCGATCTGTAGAGAGAGAGAGAGAGAGAGAGAAAGAGAGAGAAAGAGAGAGAGCGAGAGAGAAAGAGAGAGAGAGAGAGAGCGAGAGAGAGAGATAGAGAGAGATCTCCCCAGCCTGGGGGCGGCCATTCCGCAACCATCCGGGAAAGCTTTTTGATACCTTCCCGATTCGCTTCCCAGAGGCGGCCCGGAGAGGCCAAGGGGGTGACAAAACGGGACAGGAGGGCCCTAATCCGCCCCCGAGACCGTCCAAGACGCTCAAGACGGCCTCCAGACAGCCCAACAGGCCCCCAAGAGGCCTCGAAGAGGTCTCCCAAGAAAGCTTGAAGAGGCCAAACACCATTAATTATTCGGGTTTCCAACAATTTGGACGTTTCCGCTTGTTCTGGTTCCCGACGCTGCAAGACGCCCCAAGAGCCCCCGAGGATCGCCCCAAGACAGCCCAATAGGCTTCAAAGCCGCCCCCAAGACGGCCCCAAGACGGCTCCAAAACAGCCGAAGAGACGTCCAAGACGGCCCGAGAGGGCCCCAACCGCGGCCCAGGATCGGGAACGTGAGCCGAGAACCTGAGATCTTCGCCCCGGGAGACCTCCAGGAGGCCTCAAGAGGTCACCAATAAGCCCCAAAGAGCCCAAAAGAGTAAAAAAAAGGCCCCGAGGGCACTTGAATGACAGGAAATTCCCACACTTCCTTTTTTCAAGTTCGCCTAGAGTATCGGCCCCTCTTGCCGCTGAGAGACTTCGCCGCCGCACCCCTCTGGCAGCAACTTGAGAAAACAAGGGAAACAGCAGATTTCCTT